AAAAAGAGGTACAGTCTTTTTGTTTGTTTGTTTTTATTCAATCTTCAGCTGATGTTAGGATGTATGTCCCAGTTACTGCCACGCCTCATTGCGCGATTTTCCAAAGGTTGGTATTTTATACTTTCAAGTCTTGCCATTTTCAGACAAACACTTTGTAAAAATCAAAATTTCTGTGCTTAAAATAAATGATTAATTCTTTCAGCCCATTCAGTGTGTCTTTTTAAATCCTGTTAAGATGAACTTCAAAACTAATAAATGATACACAACCAAATTATTCCCAGTACTTTGAGATTCTCAATTGTACCTTCTGCCTTTAGCTCTGAAAGGAAAGCAGAACTGCTTTAGCACTCATCTGAACTTTGCAGGGAGGGGAGCAGGCAGGTATATTTAGCTCCGAGGTGATTTTTCCTCTATATGCTGAATGTTCTTGATTCAACTTTTCGTCAATTCAGAATTGGCATAGAAAACATTAACTTGAGAAGATGAAACTTCTGATTATCTGGAATGAATTAAACTAATATTTTGCACTGTTGCTCTCCATTGCCCTGAACTATAAAACAAGAAGGCATACCAAGTGAATGACCCAGTCCCTAAGATGGCCTCTCTGACAGCTGGTTTCTTACCTTTGGAGAGCTAGAACTAGGGTGGTTAACTGTGCTCTATGTTTTGTATCCCAGCAGGTGGCGCACATGTTTTGTTTTTCAAATACAAGAGGTTTTTGAGCCCTTTTTTCTTCCCAGCAAATTCCGTTGTCTTGTTTGAACTCTATTAAATGGAGTTTCAACTTTTCTGTCTTTAAATGTCCTATCTAAAAAGGTTCTTAACTTGAGGTCTCCTGATCATTTAGTAATATCCCTCTTCCCACTGCCCAAAAAATTTCTTTAAAAAAAAAAAAATTTCTTCTCAAGCCCTGAGGTAGCATAGTGTATGTATGTGTGTTGCTAAAGTTGGTGGATTGGCCAAACAAGAAAGATTAGTACCAACTGTTTAACATAGTGTTTTTAATTCACAGTTTGGAAAGCTGCCCAGTTTTGCTTATTACTGTCCTTTTGATAATTCGGTGAAGCTTATCTATGCACATTCATAGAGGCACTATACAAGTTTTCAGTTCTTCTTGTCTTTAAACTTCTCTTATGCTTCTGAGACTACCATCGTCTTCACAATGTCCTTCTGTGCTTCAGACTTATTCAATCCAAACCTTGAAAATTGTCTTAACATATATTAATAGCCATCACTGATTGGTTATATGTCTTGTTCATTTCTCCCCTTTAAAGCTGGCTCATCTAGATAAAACACCTTTTAAGTTTGAGTGTACAACATGAAAGCAAGAACTTAATGCAAGAATAGGGCTTTTTTTGTTAACTACAGGGCGGTACAGACAATCATGTGAAGGTTTACAATTCAAATGCTTGGTCTAATTTTTCAAGACTACAGGCTAATCTGCTGGACACTTGAACTGTGAACACTAGTTACTCTTCCTTTCCTGTACCAGAATGAAGTACTTTTTAAAATAAATGGTATGCATTTGATTTTTCTTCTGGAAGTTTACAAGCTACTTTTGGCTATACCTTGACCCATCATTTGTTTTTCTAGGAAGCTGAGTAGTATTTCCTCAGAAATACAGGTTATTGTAAAGACAACAGGAATCTATACTGATAGTGTATAAATAAATATATATATTACATATATTAAAATATTATTATATTAAGTACTAGCATATTGAACTTTAATGGTTGCTGACTAGAGAAAATTTTTTGAAGGATAAACAAAGCATTGTAATTCTTGAACTTCCTTATGCATCCAGCACAGGTCTGTTTTGAGGTACTGCACATAAGAACCACACTTTCCCATTAACTGAGGGTTTTTTAATTGTAAGCTTAACATTAACTTTGGCTTTCCTTATTCTTCACTGTGTGAGCTTTTTTTATCGTTGTATATCTTGAATGTTCTCTGGGCTGGTGTTTTATACGGATTTTTGACTGCTGATGTATTTTTACATCAGTTTTCTGGTTTGCTTCTACACTCCTCTTCATTGACTAACTCATGCCCACCATTTTTCCACATTGTCCTGCAGCATCAACCCACTCTGACTGCACATTTCTTTTGCTGTGCTGGCCCACTTGCAAGGTAGGCCCTTTCTCTCTCTTTCCCCTCCCTAGAAGACAAGTCTGAAAGAAATCCAGCTCCTTCCCTGTGTGTGCAGGCTGGGCTGCAAAAGCAGATACTGTGATTTTTTTGCTTCTTTGGAACTCCAGCATTGCCTTCAGCTAACCTAAGCCTGGCGCAGCAGCGTCAGCATGGATCCCTGTCCGGAAACCTGGCATCAGCAGTAGGGGTCAGGGAAGAGCTCCAGGAGCTACTACAGGATGGTGCCAGGCCTTCAGAACTGCTAGTAGCAAGGGCCTAGCCGAGCCCAGCTCCTTCTGGTAAATCTTTACTTAACTGAATGGGCTTAACCTCGTGTCTGACCAGAATTGCTCACACCCAGACTCTGCTGTAGAATGTGTGGCGTTGCATGGGGTTAGTGCTAATAGCAACTTCTGGGCATAACAGCAGTCCCAAAAAACAGACTACAAAGATCCTGTAGGCTTGTGCAAAGTCATATCGAAGTATCCCGCTTTAACAGAAGTATTCCTTTTTCCCCCATTCCTTCCTCTTCCAGAAAGTTTGGGTCATTATATATTAAAGACCACTTTAGATTTGAGCCCATGTGTTGAGCTCGTGCTGCTAGTACTGAGGAAACTTCTCCTGCCAACATCTTCTATCTATCTGGATGAAATGAAATTGTACATATTTTTCCTTGTGTATCTCTGAATTAACAGGGCATGAGAAAAACACACACATACACCACACCTTTAAAAACTTCTGGTATAAAACAAAGCCCCAAACAGACCAGCAACCTCCTGGGAGCTAGACTTGCTAGCTTTACAGGTTTTCTGGCTATTATATGATTCATTTTTGTATATCTTTTTTTTTTTTCGGTATGTCCACAAAAAAAAAGTATCCAAAAGCTTCCATCTTGTTCTAAGTTTTTGCTCTTGGGTTTCATGAAGACCTTCAAGGGATACTGGGAAAAAACAGTCATATTATGTCAAAATACACATAAAAATTCCTATTTTTCCAAGTTACTCTTCATGCAACCACAATTCTGGATGCTGATGTTCCACCCAAACGGACTTGTGGGCACAGGCACATGCAGAAGTATGGCTGAGTTATGGCAGCCTGAGAATTGGTCTTCCATGGTGCTGCCTATGTTGTCCGTGTGTATGTTCTTACCTATCCCAAGGCTGAGGTACAATTAGTTAACCTAAACATCAATTGCATTTTTTATGTAGGTAATCAATCTTCCCTAGTAGCTCTTGAAGTCCTTGTGACTTCTACATGCAAAGTTTTGGTACGGTATTTTTTTTTTCTGCCTGACAAACTCTGCCTCCATTTTAAATCATTAAATTGTTTTAACTCTATCCTAGCATGATTAAGCATACATTGTTGGCCTTTTGTGGATGAGCAGAAAGCATTTAAATTAAATTGCTATGAGTACGGGAATGATGTTTATGCTAATTCATTAGCCAAGTAGGGTGGAGGCAGAAAACATCTCTGGAGGTACAGAGGCTCAAAGGGCATGCAGGAGCTTGTTCTGTCGTAATTTTACAGTGTTAGCAAATACCCGTGAACTTACTACAAGGACTATGGCTTTAACGATGTTAAAAAAAGACTAATGCAAAAACATTGTGTACATACCCATCGGTGCCATTTGCTGTCTGCAAGACCAATCTTTTTACTTCATGAGCAGATTTTCTATGCTGCTTATCACCAAAGGGTCTGACAGCCTCACAAGCATCTAGAGTGAAGATTCATGTTTTATTAAGTTTTTTCTAGGCCTTCAAATTACAGAATGAATGTTTAAAATATGAATAGAAATAATGTTTTGAAAGTGCTTTGTATCCTACATCTTTGATTAATTACTAGAGACAGAACGGTATTGCAGCTCTTTTGCAGACATAGAACTGACACATGAAATAAAACATTTAAGTTTCCCAGTCCTTTGGCATTTAAAATCTCTTCAGCTACAGACCACTGGAGCCTTGGACTTGGGCAAGCAAGAAACGCCTCTTCTCTCGTGACTGGAAGCATCCATAGCTTTCATCGGTGTCCTGGGAAGGCACAGTCTGGCTGAGGTGGAGGAAGGTGTCTTAGTATGTATCCTTTGCAAGATTTTATTCTTCTGTTTGCTGGATTACACAAATTTCTGTGCTTCAGCTGTGGCAGGGGCAATAAAAGAGGTTACGAGAAACTAGAACAGATAATTTTAAGTGAAAATAATAATTCACAGTGGTTTTTGAGCACTTTTCAAAGTCAATTACTAGCTTGCTTGCTCAGGTTTTGCCCAACTTGGAGCTCTTGAGCTCAGCTTCCTGAGCAAACCTGAGTGGCTGCTCCAGTCCCTCAGAAGTCTGTCTTGGATGTGACGGTTGAGCTGCAAATTTCTCGATTCAGGTTCGGAGCTGACGGACACTGTGGGGGACTTTGTGCCAGCGCAGGCCAGTAAAGGCCGTTTACCTGCCCAGCGAGAGCAGCCCGGCCCCGCGTGCCGCAGTAGGTCTCGCGCAGGCCAGGTGCCGCCGCAGGGCAGGAAGGCCAGGTGGGGGCCATGGGCCTCGGCCGGCCTCAGCGAGCGCAGCTAAAATAGCGAGTAGACCCAAGCCACTGTCAAACAAACAAACAAACAAACCACAGTATTTATTTACTTCATACCTCCCGGTTTGGGTTCAACAGGGACTTGAAAATAACTGGTTTGTTTTGAAATGAAGGAGGAAAACAACTGTTCAGACAGGTTTTTGGGTTGAGCGCGATCCTTCCTTTTCATCCTGCGAGCGTGTCGCTTTTTCTGCAGAAAGTTAACTTTCAGCACTGCTTCCGCATAGCATGTTTTAAGGGCCTTGTATAAGGAAGCTCTTAGTCTGTGCTTTATTTGCTCAAAGGGCAGGTTTGCCTGGCAGATGAACCCTCGGCTCGCTAATCCCGCTGTCTCTTGCCACCATCACCGCCAGGCCGCCTGCGGTCTCTGCCAAGGAGGTAACGTGACACACCGATCTGGGCCAAGTCCTTCCCGCGGCCGTTAAAAAGAGCAAGGAGGCCAGGCAGCCAAGTGGACTACGTGTCTTTTTAATGGCATCGTTAGGTGTGACTGCGGCTGGGGGGGG